CCTCTTAACTGCACAATAAACCTATATTCCAGTGCCTGTCCAGCATGCCTCCCCCTTGCTCCTCTTTTCCCTCTACTGCTGGTTTCAAGCAGCGGGTAAGGAGAGTTAAGGAGACCAAGCAACCTCCTAATTGAAGAGTTTGCCCTGCTCATGGCTCGGGTACTTCACTTGCTTCCTGAATGGCCGCAGAGATGCAGACGTGCCCATGAACGGCAAAATGAGAAATCGCCTGGGCAGGGACAGCCCTATCCCAGCTGAAATTTAAGGCATACATTGTTAACACAGTATTTACAGGAAAACATTTTAAAGATGCATTAAAATGGCAACATAAAGTTAGCTATGCTACTCGAATCTGTTCTGATTTCTGGTCTTGACTTCTGTCCAGTGCAATAAATCAAGGATTTTTGGTGGGAAATCCGAAGGCACAGATGAACCACACTGACTTCTCTGCAATCAGTCAGCGAAGATCCCATGTAACACGCTTTCCCACGGAACAGAGTCACTACTTGCTCTTCCACAGCAGTGGCTATCATTCCTGTTGCCACCCTCCGTACGCAGAGGGCAAGCAGTAGCACTGGTGGGCACCCCTGCCTCCTGACAGCCAACAAGGAGCTCCCACCAGCAGGCTGTTTGTCACACAGGGACAAGGAAGGTACCTGAAAAGCCGTTTCCGTGCTCTGCAGGGAAACCTTCCACCCCTGTGCTTCAGGCAGAGCACGTCCCAAATGGAGCCTAAGAATCCTTTGGAGACTGGCTCAAGTCCATCGCCTCAGCTGGATACCTCCAGTCATGGCTCCGTTGGATGTCCTGGAAAAACAACCTCTGCTGGAGACTTTTCAGACTATTCAAGTCCTCTGGAGAGAGTCCATGGAAGAGCACTTGTTTCTCTGGATCTTCCTCCTCCTCTTCCTCCTCCTCCTCCTCCACAAGGTCATCAGGAGGCAACGGAGAACATCTAGAGATGTAGCCCTGGTCTGACTGCACTGATTGTCTTTGCTCTTTGTATTGGTCATCTAAGACCAGCTGGTGTTGCTTGTCAGCTTCCTCTTGACAGAAGGATGGTTCTGAGGGCACGACACTCTGCTGATAAAGACAGGACATGAGTCCATTCAGCTGGTGCCTCAGTTCACCAGAGAGGTTTGCAGGACTATCATCTATTGCAGAGGCTTCACAGTCATCACGGAGGAGGACTTCATTCCTCAGCGGAAAGCTTCTCTCCAAAAGAGGGACTCCTTCCATGCAGTCCTCATTAGTCAGCACATGATGCTCAAGCACATTTTTATCTTCCACAGGAGAGACTGGCTCCACTACCTGAACCAGAGGGGCCTCATCCATAGGAATGACCATAGTCTGAGAAGTTGCATCCCCAGACAGATTCAGCTGAGGCTGCAGCTTGCAAGCTTTGTTCTCACTCTCATGCATGTGGAGGTTGACAACGTAACAGCAGTTAGGGTCAGGCTCCCTTAGGTGCAGCTGATGTTTCACAATGCCCCCCTGCTCCCTCAGGAACGAGTCCACCTGACTGTCTCTGTTCAGGCACTGAGGCTCCTCCTCGTTCTCCAAGCAGATGCTTTCCGTCTCAAACCAGTCTGGGTGCTCTGCCTGCCACTCCTTGAACTTTCGCACGGCCTCTTTCAGCTTCCATCCACTAGGGGTATCGACGTAATTTTCTGCTGTGATTTCCTGGATTCGATGTATACGTCCTGGTTCAAATTTCTCCAGGTCCTGAATCCGAAAATAAATATCCTCAAACTTGTCCATCAGTTGGTACCTGGAGGTGACATTGAATAGATCGGGTATATCCTTCTCACTACTTATTCCCTCAAAATAGCAGATTATATACATCCCAAAACAGGCTGGCTTCTTGAAATCAGGCAGGATCAAATTCAAGGCAGGTGTGAAAAGGTCTCCAGTTGGCTTTTGCTGATCTTGCCTGAGACACACAGGGTCACTCCCAAGCATGGCCTGCCATTTGGCCTGGGTGCCCCGTGAACACAAGATGATAATCTTTGAAGAAAGGTCTTCCATTTCCTTCTTTTGTCGAGTAAGCCAGGGCAAAGCCCCAAGCTCTGAGATCTGATGATCCTCCAGCAGATCTAAGGCCACTGCAGTGCCACAGACTGTCATCAGAAATTCGGCAAACTTCAGCACCACATCCACGTAGAGCAGATGATCGGCAGAGTACACAATCCAAACTTTCCGAGGCTTCAAAGGTGGCGGAGGAAGGTCTGGAGATAGCACCTCTGAAAGACAGAGAAAGATTCACCCCAGATGAATTTCACCATGCATAAAAGCAGAGCACACTGGTTTCAACAGTCTCGCAAGTGTAGCTATAACCTCCCACCCTGGGAGCTGCGTTCACCCCAAAGCAATCTCCTGCCGCTGTGAGTTGAATGATTAGCCATTTTCGTCCAGTACAACCACAGCTGTGCCAACAAAACAGAACAACAAATAAAACTTCACAAAGCAGTTATCTCCCATCTGCTAAAGGGCAGTGGTCCAATGTATACATTCTCTGTTCAGTGTGACCAGTTATTAAAATGTTCCTTTTGACTAAACAGGAATATAGGAAGACCTTGAGGCTATGCTAGTTCGGTTTCCAGAAGCACCTATGGAGAAGTGGAGCCCACGACAGCCCCTGCCCAACAACTCTTCCCGGATGCATTACGCATGGGACAGTCCTTGACAACACACCAGCAGGATCTCTTACCTGTTTGCAAGCCACTGTGGTTGCTTTTCCCTCGCTGGCATCCTGGAAGAGAGAAAGTCGCTGTCAACTCTAACAAGGACAACCATTCCCTTCAAATAACAACTCCTTCCAAAGACCAGGCTTGAAAGTCTCTAATTGAAAGGCGAAAGAGGGAGGGAAAAGCCTAATTAAAAACATTACATGGATACAGGCTCGTCCACAGCCAACTTTGCTATGTGCTATACTTTGTTCTTCCTTGGAGAGAAAGGATGTGGATTTTTATCACCTTTCCCAAATCTGTCTGGTCTCCGAAAAACAAGGACAGAATCCCCACACCTTTTCCCACTCCTCCTTGAAAAGCAGCTTTTTTTTTTTTTTAATGTAGCTTTTTCTTAAGAGGCTTTTCCTAAAGAAGCAGCTAAAGTGTCTCCAGGTACATCTTACAGATCTTACAGATAATTTTTATGTCGAGAAGTCCTTTGAAAGATTTTGATTACTCCTCAGGTAAAAAGTGTGCAGCAAGTTATACAGTCTCCCTGTGATAACTGCTTCACAGTTACAGCACTAGACTATGAATATCTTTAATTACTGATTTTTTCAAACTCCTCAGTGTCAATTTCTGTGCTCCAATTTTCTTCTTCCATCTTCACTGAAGAATGTTATTTAAACTCAAAATAGCACAGAAGTGAGTTTTGCAGAGACAGTGGGTGACGGGAAAGACTGTGGCCTCAGAAAACAGGAAGCTGCCATCCTGCAGGGCTCTTACACAACGCCAAAGGAAAATAAATGGAAGAGATACCCACAGAAACCTGTTTTAATAGGAATCAAAGGGCTAAACTGTGAAGTCATTTTTTCTTTTTCCACGAGCTGCTTCCAAAATGGAATGTCAGCCAGTGGAATGTCAGCCAGTGCAACTCATCGAGGCTTTTAGTTGGATTGTGTTAGGATGATGCATTAGGTGGATGGTATTAGGATGTTACACAAGTCTTGTGATATAAGCAGCAAGAAAGCATTTACATGAGCATTGCATCAGTGGCAGAACATCACAAAGGCAAGGAAGAAAACAGTGAGAAAAAGTAGTAGGAAAGATTAGCTGTGGCACTTGCACGTTTCTTTCCCCCTGGTAGGAGTCTTACCTGCTCGTTTTCTGGTCATACAAACGACAGCTGCTATGACTGATCCGACCAGTAACACACAGATCCCAGTGATGCACCAGTATAACCATATAATCATATCACCTATGGTATAAAGAGAGCACTCAGACACGACTTTCAGCAGCTAAGGAGCCTTCTCCCAGGAAGAGAAATCTCCCGAGCAGCCAAAACCCAAGTAAAAGAGCCAGGGCTCTGCTCAAAGCTGTAGGCAGAGCACACCGAGAGCCCAGTACTGCCCCCAACAGCCTCCTCCCAAACACCAGGCCGCATTTAAAACTGTGCTCTGCACTGCAAGTTTGCTCCACAAAGAGCCCTGCATGGAACACAGGGCTGAAAGCAAAGAACAGCCGCCTTCACAGGCATCCACATTCTGCTTCTTCACTTAATCTACTTTCTTAAGAAAGAATGTAGGGTAAGTATTTCAGGCCACAGGATGCGTGTGTGTGTTTTCATCTTGGACATGACTAGCTTTTCACAGGTGTTGTTGCAGCCAAGAAAAGATGTTAAATCATTATGCACATGATTTATCTTGACATTCATGAAGATGAATATATGCAAGCTATTCTCTTCCAAAGCCTTTTTTTACTATGCAAATCTTTTGAAGATTGAGCAAAGTGACAGCAAGTATTTTAAATTAAGATTCTTTTTGTCATAATAGTGTTTCTCAAAGAATTTCATGCAAGTAAAGTACCTCTAAAAACATAATAATAATAATAAGATCATTTAATCAGGTTCATACAATATAAAATACTTGCCTTTTTAAAGCACAGTGAAGTAACTCTAATAAGTAACTCTAATACAACCCATGTTCTGAACTCAGCAGGGCTACAAGGGGATATTTCCTGACTGTCAGGTCACTCTCAGTAAGGATCAGGAAAAGAGCAGCAAGGGAAGTTTCAGCGTACTGGAAAGGCTTCTTACCTGATGGGTCTGGACCTGCAAAAGACAGAGCTACATTAGAATTCCAGTTCTCATCTATAAAACAGCAAGAATCTAAGAATCTAATTTAGAGAAGAGAGGGTCTCACTTGGAGCTGGTGAACATGGGATGATAGCAGAATGTCTCATACAGTCTGTGCCGCAGTTCACAAAGAATGGCTGAATCTGTAGTTGAAATAAATCCAAAAAAAAAAAAAAAGAAAAAATCAGAAGCTATTTTCAACAGCAATTCTGTTCCTTACTTTACCCCACCCCTGCCTCTTCCTTCCCTAAAGCTCAGCACAGGAAACAGAATCCCCATTTCCCTTCAAAAACTAAGAAGATTAATCAAGGACTTCCACACTATTCACTGTACATTAATAAGTCAGTGGGCTCCTGAGGCTGCATACCTGTTAATGCTTTTCCTGTGTCACTCAAGCTTGGCTACCCTACACTAGAATGGAGAGTCACTGTCAATACTATCTAGAAGAGAATGCCGTTATGTGAGAAATTATTTTCAGGCATAACCATTATTTCCCCAATATAGGTAACTGGGAACTAGCCAATCTCAGAACAAAACATAGTGCAAAACTATATTCAGAAAAAAGAAAAATATTCATCGTCTTGTTGGTGAAGGAAGGACATAGGAATCATATGCCTGTACCTGAATATTGTAGTTGCAACAAGCTTTTATGTTCCTCTCTATTTTGATTGTAACGTTTACTTGCTGCTGCAGTCCATCCTGCAGAAATCAGAAGCAACTATTATAATGGAAAGAAGAAGAAAATGAAGTAAAAGCTGTAAGAATGAAAAGGAGCAAGGAGAATATGGGGAAATGCAAGTTACTGGTGTGGTACAAAACAGCAGAAATTCATAATTTTGTTTGGAATCAGAAGCTCGTAAGATGAAACAGATAAATGCCTTGGTGACCACTACTGCGGGCATCCTGTGTGACAGAGATTGGAATGCAGTTAAAACAGCAGGTTAAGGTTGCAAAGGTAGCATGAAGTGTAAGTAATTAAGGATGTCTTTTGTGCAACTTCAAAAGCATTAATTTTAACTTACAGTTTCTTAACAATGTTGAGCTATTTAATGTTCACATTTTAATTAACAGCTTCTGGTTTGCTCGATTTTAAAAAGCTGACCTAACACTGCTGTCAGTCGCATCAGAGCAGATAGATAAATTGCCCCTTTTATCCACGGCACACAACCAGTATCTTTTCAATGTAAACACATTTTTACGATGGTAAGCAGAGGCATACTCTGCAATGAAGGATGATGAGCGTGGAAGGAATGGACAGATTAAGCAAGGTGAATTCCAATCTACCTGCCTCCTCTCAAGGCAGGATAAGGACTAGTATCAAATATTCAGTATTCCCCCTCTTTCAGATTTCTGGAGTGGGCCGTTTCTTAAGTCAGAAGACAGCAGCGTGCATCTACTTTGAGCTTCTCAACAATGCAGGTTTAAGACCTAGAGGAATTGATTCTCAGATTAACTGGAACACCTTTGCAAAAACATTCCGTGTTTCAAAAAAAACAAACAAACAAACAGCATTTGATAAATTGCTTCAATGGTTTGTTGCACTCACTGTTAAAACTTTGCACCTCAATTTTGATTTATTTAGCTTTGTCTCCTAGGCACTGTCTTGAAAAAAGAAATAAGGACCAAATCATCCAACGTCAAATTTTTATCTCCTTTACAGGTGCTTGCAGATTGCCCAGTAACTATCACATTGTTCACAAAAATAACACTGGATTGAGCCTTTTACTCTAAAGCATTACAAAAGAGACCTTCCTTTTGATCTTTTATTTACCAAAATCCCGTAGGAATGTCCCATCTTTCGAAGGCCAAATAAAAATTTGGAAACAATTCCTTAGAAATCACTTTTCAATACATTTGTTAGTTCTCCTAACATCATCTAACCTCTTCTTTTGTGATTTTGCGACTATTAAATAAATTTTTGTCTAAATTAGCAGAGTAGAAATTATTTGGAAGGCAATTACCGCAGTGAAATCATGCATGACCATTTTACATTTCTTCTCATTCAGGAAACTGGCCACATGGATTTGATACCGGGCAGACTCCGTCCACGGGTTAAAGCTCACGAGCAGAGTCGCATCATCTAGACTTTTACCTTGGATCCTGGGCTCCCACAGGCTGCCTGGAAGAAGTGCAGATATTCGATTTTCTCATTTGTCAGAAATATTTCAACAGGGCACCAATGACTGGTAACTCAGACAGACAACTTTTACCTGTATTTATACAGGGAACAGTCCTTTTCATCAGAGAGTCCTTGCAGTCTGCAGGAAAGAGATACTATCAGTTGACAGGTCAGAAATACTGCACTTCCACTCAAGAAAAGCACCCCCTTTAACAGAAACCAGACACCTAACTTGGAGACCTACTCGGGCAGTAGGGACCTTTGTTTCAATGCAGTAGTAAAGTTTTGTAGGAGAACAATATGGCCATTTCCAAGGCAGAAACTATCCCTTCCACTGATGTTATGTTTTTAAGGATGGAGGTATTACTGAGAAAGGACTAAAACCATACAGTGCTTCTAATGTTGATCTCTGGACCTACCTGGAGAGAGCCTCAGCCACTGATTCCTCCAAAAGAGTTCTGTCCTAGGACAACCAGCAGGCTGGAATCACTTTCTTGATCCTATAAAAGCTCTTCTACATTTATAATTCTCTTAGCTTTATTTAGCAGATTGGTCCTGCTTTTTCACATTGAAATTCAAACTCACACCATTAGCTGTGTGGGATTTACAAGTGTCAGCCTAAAATACTTTTCCTCCTGGGTCTGGAGGTAACAAAGAAACAATCCCTAGCACTGCTTGCTTAAACAGATGAAAGCAAATAGCACTGATCTTAAATTTCTAACTTTCTGTCAAGTTCATGACCCTCTAACTCACAGATAAACTCTAATCAGTGAAGCTCCCTGCAACTGCTGACCCTGATGCAATGCGTTAGGTTCCAGAAGAACAGGGGGATCAGAGCTAGAAAGTGGCCCATATAACCAGGGCTAAAAATCAAGTGACTGCTCTGCTTCTCCAGGTGCACACTGACTGACACATCACATACTTTTTCCATAAATAGAGTTCTGCTGCCAAATCTAAGCAAGTTAAGAAGAAAATGGTGGTTTAAGCTGGGTATTGAATGCCAAGCATTTATGAACTGCTGAGTGCAGCCAGAGAGAACTGCAGATCCTCAACATATTCAAGGAAAAAACAAAAATAAGAACAAGCCTCCACAAAACAAAACACCCTACCCCAAGTTTTTAGTTAGAGGAATATTTTCATTTGTGAAAAAGGGGCAGATGCAAGTCTCTCAAGTTTCTTGGTAAATTTTGCCTAATTGTGCCTTTTAAATCAACTGTTAAGTGCCTAAAATTTGACATCGGAAGCTAAGTTTTACTCATCCCAGTTTGAAAAGTTTTGGTCTGTGCTTTTACCTTTCACAAGCACAAGGGCAACTTCCAAAGATCTCAAATTAAACAAAAGACAATCTGTAGAGAACATGAAAGACCAGTCTAGAGCCCCGTTCAAGTAGATTAAATATGTTTTTATCTGCTCCACCAGTGAACGTTTCAGCGACGAAACCCAGCAAATGTAATTTATCATCTTCAAACGGCCTCTCAGAGGGGCACCTATATTAGTCTTTGAATTTTAATACAAATTTGGTGAACCACAACTGCAGTAGAATTGCTAATGAGCAATGCCTCAGAGTTCACAGATCCAAGTTCAAAACTCCATCCAGCTTTTTGGACGGCATGTAAACATTTTTATAGCAGTGTCTTCCATCTAGGAAGTCACCAGTCACTCAGAATGGAAGTGTCTGGACTCCACTGCACTGTTCTTCCACACACACCTTCTTCCAGTCAGAGATTTGTGTGCTATATTTCAGTGAGTAGATTCCAGAAGCAAGGATGGTGGCTTTTGATACAAATTTCTGGGGATAAACAACAGGAGCACTGTAAAAAAGACCTGAGTCTTCAAAACAGATATATCCAGAAGTGACAGGAGTCTTACAATATTGCTCCCAGTTCACATATCCAGGCTGGAGAAAAACCTACCCTACAAAAAAAAAATTCCAAGCTCAAGGCCTAGCGAGATAGAGCACCTCTTACCAGGCATTGTGAAAGGCATGGACTTGCAGTTGTAGTCTCCATCTGTACCCAGTTTGGGCAGGTGGTAGACAGTCACTTGGTAAGTCTGGCCAGGCTCCACCTCAAAGCGGTCAAAACTGAAGTTCCACTAAAAGAAAACATTCAAAAGGACTTAAAAACAGATAGTTGTGTTACCAAGGCACTGAAATCAACAGCTGACTTGGTTTTGTCCCATTGTGTCCCTCCATCCTATATGGCCTTAAGAGCCAAAGCATGCAACAGCTAAACATTTGTAACTGCAGTTATACGTGTATAACTCTATACCTGGCCATATTTCCTTATTTCTTTTTCTTCTATACTGCTTTTCATTATACAAGTATTTTCAGTATAGAAGAACTTTTAGCTTCAGCCCAATAAGGCAAGCAAAGGAATGAAATAACTTAATTATAAAGGGAGCTGTGGATGCTCCTAATCCACAAACATAAGGTGAAAAGACAAACCCCAGGTTCGTGCTTTTATCTACAACAGGACGACACAAGAGAGAATTGGAAGCACAAGGAAAGACAGAGTTAAAGACAGTGTCACAGCTGTCAAAAAGAAAGCAAAAACTACCACAAATGTTCATTTTAAGTGCATTTAGGACAATTACATGAGCTAGGCACTAAACTGACAGCAATAAAATATCAGAAAGCTTTTATAACCTGAGGACAGTGAAAATGAAAGAGAAACCAAGCTAGCTACGGAACTGTATACAGCTACACAAAAGCACAAAATAACCTGGAAATTACAGGCCTCAGGCTCAGTGTCTGCGTCTCTACATAAGCTCTCGTGACTCACCTGCCCGTGCTCTTCATCCATACACCTCCTCTACTACAGGCACAACTCAAACAAGCCCGGGGACTGGGAGAGGTAGCTTAGAGCCCTTTGTACTCACCCGGCCTCCACCTGGACGGACCTGAGGCATCAAGTTGTTCTGAAAATCAAACTGGGTGCAGATTTGTTGATTGCTGTTCACCTGCATCACGGCCAGCTCTGCTCCCCGGAGAAACTGGATGCTGGCTGCAGACACAGCGGGGGAGAGGTCTTTCTTTCCTGCCACACACAGGTGATACCCCCGCCCCCCACCCCGAGCCCAGTCCTGTCACAGTCCCGCTGCTCGGAAGACTTGGGGACACTGATACAAATGTGCCTAGCCCCGGAGAAGAGTGTGTGCAGGGCTGACAAACAGCACTTCCAGATGAGAGCTAGTCCTGCACAGCAAGGGCTCCCGCCATGCGGACAGGGGGCAGCGAGGAAGAGAACTTCATGGTTCCAGGCACGACGGCAGCTCCCAGCTTGTGGGCGCCGTGTTCAGTCCTGCCACTCAGGGCTGCTTTATGCAGTTCTGGCACCAGCACAAATAGGCTGTCATTTTGGCATAAGCTACCCCAGGCAGCACATTTCTAAGCATGGCTGCGCTATGAGAGCCGTGCCTGCTTCCTCACTAGCCCAGCTCTCCCAGATAATAAGGCTCTGTGGGGTGGCCCTGGGCTCAAGCAGAAAGCGAATGCATCTCTTCCCACGGCAAATCAGTTCAAAACTGGGGACAAGGGAAGGCAAGGGCACACCATCAGTGAATGAAAAATCGAAGTGTGGAAAAAAACAGACAAAACCCAAACATTTACTGGTACTTGTTAAGTACCTCATTCACTTAATGGCACCTGTCCCCGCAACGAGACAACTATTTCTTTATGAAGATAAACACAGGAAGCGCACATGGGAAATCTGAGCCACAAGGGCTCCAGTATCCTAAATGGGAAGAACTTGCACTAGGTTAAGGATAATAGTACCTAAGCACCTACTTCCTCTCTCTTAAACCCATTCTCATTTGTTCACAGATGAAGTTTCCCCATATATGAAAAATAAACAACAAACCTAAGACAAAACGAAGCAGCCAAGCCCCCAAAACTCTAAGCTCTGCTTCCATGGGTAAACCAGCAACAGACTTCGAGTACTGATTTTCCTCTTCATCCCTGCTAGACCACACTTAATTCCTCTGCTCATGTTCCTGTTAAACAGCCACCACTTACCATCAGTGGCTACCCTCCACTCTATCCGAAGCACAGGGA